CAGCTATCTGACCTCAATTACCTTCTGCTCACTTGTTTAATATCTTTTTATATGGGGTGTGTGTGTGTGTGTGTGTGTGTGTGTGTGTGTGTGCGCATTACAAATGAGTCTATTGCTAAATCTGTCTTTAAGACAAATTTGTATATGATTCAGAAAAGTATCTAATGTCAGTCAATTGTTTGTCTTAGTATATGGTGTATCTTTTGAGGCATTAAAAATTAAAGAAATACCTCTAGATACACTGAAGCATCTTTAACATAATACTACACGAACAATTAATGTTTCAGTGTTTGTCACAAAGTAGTGCCTGTTTGTTGTTATGAATCACTATATCTATTCAGGATTTTTAATATGGATGTTGGTTTGTACTTAAGTCAGAACCTTAGAATGGGAACTGAGGATTTTATGTATTTCAAAAGAGACTAAGATACAACTTTACATGAATCATGTATCAATGACATGACAAAGATAACCTCTATTCCTAAATGAAATTTTAACCACAGGTTACAATCCTAACAGAGGTTAAAATTTATCACACATATTTTTTTAATCATTCAATTGATAACATGGTCAAATGGCATGTTAATCAAGTTCCTTACTGAGGGAATTCTAGAGCCTTCTATGAGCTAATGGGCACTGTGATACTGTAAAAGGCAGTGCAGTCCTGCCCAAAGTAATCTGATCACAGGATTCTTATTGAGACACTTGGGGTATTAGTGTTCCACATAGCAACACACTTTAGGAAATATTGCTCTGGGGGACAGAACTAGCAGGTAGTTCAGGCTGAGGGCAGAATCAGCTGCCTTCTAGAACACAGTATCCTGCTAAATGCAGGCTGCCACAGGAGATGGTTCCCACAGGTCTCAAGCACTCTAACATTGCTACATAAATCGATCAAACCTACTTGGAACCATGGTAGAGTTTTACCATCAGAGATGCATCTTAGGAAAGCAAAAGTAAATTCTTTTTAGGGCATTCTCCAGGGCAGCATCTCCTGTCTGTCATTTAGAACATCACCCCCTTACATGTCTTTAGGTTGAAGCAAAATGCCACATGTTGTTGTTGTTAGGTGCTGGAGAGTTGAGTACAATTCACAAACTATGAACAGCAGATCTGAACCCGGGCCTGTCCTATGCCATCCTCATCATCTGTGACACACTTGACCCTACTGCTGCAGTCCCTGTGTCCATCTGTCTCATTGAGGGTCTTTCTCTCTTTTATTGACCCCCCACCGTTCTAAGCATGATGTCCCTTTCCAATGAAGAGCCTCTCTTAGCAATATGCCTGTTGCTGTTGTTGTTAGGTGCCGTCAAGTCGTAGATGACTCATAGCGACCCTGTGAACGAAAGGCCTGAGCACAGCAATATGCCTACAGTATTGGAAACCAAGCTTCACTATCCTTGCCTCTAGGGAGCATTCTGGCTGCACTTTCTTCAAGACATATCTGTTTATTCTTTTGGCAGTCCATGGGATATCAGTACTCCTTTCCAACACCACAATTCAAAAGCATCATTAATTCTTTTGTCACCTTATCCACTGTCCAGCTCTCAAATACATACCAAGTGACTGAAAAGGCCATGGCTCGAATCAAGTGCCCTTGGTCTTTAAACGGACATCATTGCTTCTCAGGACTTTGAAGAGGTCCCTGACAGCAGACTTTCCCAATGTAATCCATCTCCTGATCTCCTGACTGCTGGTACTTTCTCCATCTATCATGGACATGCCTATTGACCCGATGATGTGAATTTTTGTTTTCTTGATGTTGAGGTACAATTCACATTGAAAGTTGTAGTCATTGATTTTCTGCAGCAAATGCTTCAGGTTCTCCTTGATTTGAGCAAACAAAGTTGTGTCATTTGTATAATGCAGGCTTGTCGATGAGTTTTCTTCAAATCCTAATGCCACATGCTTCTTCATAAAGTCCAGTTCCTCAAATGATTTGCTCAGCATACAAATTGAACAGGTGAAGAGAAAGGATATAGCTCTGACATGTATCTTTCCTGATTTTTAAACCATGCAGTGTTCCCTTGCTCTATTCAGACAACAGATTCTTGGCCTAGGTCTAACATGAGCACCGCTAAGTGTTCTGTGACTTCCTTTCTTCTCCAAGTTAGCTACACTTTGTGATCCACACAGGCAAATGTCCTTGCATAGTCAATAAAGCACAAATAAATATTCTTTAGGATTCTCTGCTTTCAGCCAAGATCCATATGACATCAGCAATGACATCCATAGTGCTATTAGACACTTCTAAACACAGCTTGAATTTTTGGAAGTTCCCTTTCAATGTACTGTTTTAGCTCTTATTGGATGATTTTCAGCAAAATATACTTGTATGTGATATGAATAATATTGTTTAGTAATTCCCACACTTTTTTTGATCTCCTTTCTTGGGAATGGGTCAAATAAATATTAATTTCTTCCAGTCAGTTGACCAAGTAGCTGTTTTCCAAATTTCCTGCCACAGACTGGTGAGCATGTCCAGGGTTGCATGTTTTACTTGAAACATGTCAACTGGTATCCCATCGATTATTGGAGTCTTTTTTTTTTAAAAAAAATTATATTTTGTGTGTGTACCGTCAAATCGGGTCTGAATGGTACAGGAGGAGATTGTCCCTCCTTCTCCAGCAGAGCATATGGTGGATTCGAACGGTGTACCTCTGGGATTGCAGTGCAGCTTCTTGCCACTAGGCCACCAGAGCTCCCTTGGGGCCTTATTTTTGACAATGTCTTCAATGTAGCTTGAACTTCTTCCCTCATCATCACTGGCTCTTGTTCATATGGTACTTCCTGAAATTATTCCATGTCGGCCAATCATTTTTGGTAGAGTGACTATGTGTGTGCCTTCCCTCCATCTTCTTTTGATGGTTCCTGGATCATTTAAAATTTTTCCCATCGCACTTTCAGTCTTGCAACTTGAGTCTTAAATTTGAGTCTTTCAGCTTGAGAAATACCACACAGTCACTATTAAAGCCAGAATTTATCATCAGGTTGACCTCCACTTCAGTTCTGCTACTTCCTAGTTGAGTGCCTTGAACCTCTACCTACTGAGGGTAAGAACCATCCTACTTCCTGGGCTGTTTATAGATGAAGAAGCTCTGACTGTACCTGGCATATGGTTAAGTATGCAGAGGTATCAGCATTAGTACTACTGTCACCATTACCCTCAACATTTTATTAATTAATTAATAATCAATTTGATAATCTTGCCATTCCATTTTTAATTTTATATTTACATCTACTTTAGAGAGCTCTGGTGGTATTGTTCCTAGGGAATTTCTCTATTAATCCAGAAGCCAGGCCTCTCTGGCAGTTTGAATATACCAGTGGCTCTGAGGAAGACAGATGAGAAGTCTCCCATTTGATTTGATTTATAGCCTCAGAAACCCAGTGGAGGGTCTGGAGGCAGGTCTGACTTGATGGAAACGAGGGTTTTTTGAGTATACTATAGCAATATCTTGCTTCAAAAGACCGAAGGCCTTCCGTATAGATTGCATCTCAACATTAAGAAGATAGAAAAGTCCTCACTACTGGATCAATAGGCAACATAAAGACAAACAGAGAAATGATTGAAACTGTCAATAACTTCATCTTATTTGGATCCACAATCAACACTCTTGGTACCAGCAGTCAGGAGATCAGGAGATGTATTGTATTGGGAATGTCTTTTGTCAGAGACTTCTCCAAAGTACTGAGAAGCAATGATGCATTGAAGACTAAGGTGCATCTGATTCAGGCCATGGTCTTTTCAATCACTTGGTATGCAGCTGAGAGCAAGACATTGGACAAAGATGACCAGAAGATTTGATGCCTTTGAATTGTGGTGCTGGAGAAGAGTACTGAATTTCTCACGGAGAGTCAAAAAAATAAACAAGTATGTCTTGGAAAAAGTCAGCCAGATCACTCCTTGGAGGCAAGGACAGTGAAGCTTCATCTCAAATACTTTGGGCAAGTTGCTAGGAGAGGCTACTTCTTGTTTTTTTTTTAATTTAAAAAAATTTTATTATTTGTGTGTGTGTGTGTGTGTGTGTGTGTGTGTGTGTGTACCGTCAAATCAGATTTGACTGGTACAGGAGGAGATTGTTCCTCCTTTTCCAGCAAAGCATCTGGTGGATTTGAACCGCACACCTCTGGGATTGCAATGCAGCATCTTGCCACTAGGCCACCAGAGCTCGCCAAGAGGCTACTTCTTGGAGATGGACATCATGCTTGGAGGGGCAAAAAGTCAGCGAAGGAAGGGAAGACCTTCAGTGAGAAGGACTGACACAGCAATGAGCTCAAGTGTGTCCGAGATGATGAGGATGACACAGAATAGGGCAGAGTACAGATCTGTTGTTCATATGGTCTCTATTGGTTGTACTTGATTCAATGGTAATAGCAACAATAAGAACTAGCAATAATAACAGCAGGGCAGCCATGTCTGCCAAGAAAACAAACAGGTCTGGCCTGAAGAAAGTGACACCAGGGTGTTTTTTTCAGGCAAGAATAGTGAAACTTCATCTCCCACACATAGGGTATGTTGTTAGGGGCTAGTCCTGGGAGGATGACATCACACTTAGTCAGCGTGAGAGAGGAAAGCCCACAATAAGATGGACTGATATGGTAAGTGTAACAATGGGCTCAGGTGTGTTGCAGATGGTTAAGACAGCAGAATATAGGACAAGGTTCAGTTCTGCTGTTCACGTGGTTGCTATGAATCACAGTTGACTCCACAACACATAATAAGAACAACATGGCAATATTTTAAAATAACATCTTTCCTTGAATCTGAGAATTAAATCTAATCCCCACTTCTCCAGTCTCCTGACAGTATTTACTATTCCAAAATGCTCAGTCAAATCTGATAGACCTTTTAACTTGCCAGGTGATGGATTGGGGGCACACATGGGTTTAAGGGGTGAGACCTGCACCTCAGACCTTGTGTCACTGGTTGTTCTCCCAGGACTCTTGTCCTTGGCGTCAGCCAGGGCCCCTTCCCTCTGCCACTGTGCCCCACTCACCCACAATGGACAGGATGACCACCACGAAGTCAAAGATGTTCCAGCCAATAGTGAAGTAGTAGTGCCTCAAGGCAAACATTTTGAGTACACATTCACAGGTGAAGAAGATGACGAAGACAAGGTTAATCCAGTAGAGAATGTTCTCCATCTGCTTGCTCTGAGTATCTGTCTCCACCATCATTGTGACCATATTAAGGCAGATGAGCATCATGATAACAATGTCAAAGGCTTGTTGAGTGACAAAATCAAAGACGACACCTTGGATTTTGTTCTTTGGAGGGAAGGAAGGAGAGATAAAACAGGATTTATGAAAGGCTTTTGAAGCAGACCCAAGAGTGTTTCTATCCCACTAATCAAAGTATCCTCTGTAAATAAAATGGCCATTCCTCTTGCAACTCCACCAGAAGCATCGATAGAGATAGATTTTAACATTACTTCAAAAAAAGTTTTCTAAAATGTCTACTCTTCTTTCCTACATCTACGATGTCCTATCTTTTTGAATTTCTTCCTACCTTTTTGGCTTGGCTTTTTCAGTCTCTCATTTACTAGCCATTTCTTCCTTAATTTGATTGATCGCTCCTGGCTCTCTATTTTTGCCCCAGGAGAGCACCTTTTCTCTGCTTGCATAACATCTATGTTCTTACACTTCTCAAGTTCTTCCTCTTCCAGCCCATGCCTTTCCTCTGAACTCCTGTGCTGTCTACCCCATTGCCTACGTGACATCTGTCCTTGTGACTCATCAGCATTTCAGATAGAACATGTTCAAAGCAGACCTAAATAAATCCCTTCCATACACTTCCTTGTCTCTCATTTATAAAAATTTATAAAAATATCTGCATACCCATGTTTCTTGCTGCTTTGTTCATGATAGCAAAGAGCTGGCAACAACCCAAATGTCCATCAGCAAACAAATGGATAGAGAAGCTGTGGTATATATTTACATAATGGAATATTATGCAGCACTGAAATACACTGCACTCATGAACTATAATTCAAAATGGGTGACCATGGAGGACATTATACTGAGCGAAATATCTCAATCACAAAAGGACAAATACTGCATAGTGAGTGCCACTGTTATAAAACAGGACTGACATGAGGGTTGGAGGGAAGCTAAGAAGAGGGGATAAATAATGTACATGACATTGAACTAGATGAGGGAGATTACTGGCATGACAAGAGTCCAGGATAAGAGCTGCATAGTAAAGTGGACTGGGGGAGGGGAAGAACAAGGAAATAATTTTGTTTCAAAGAGAAAAGCAATCTCAGGGGGAAGGGGGGCAGGGAGGAAAATGTGCAACAATGAATGGATTGAAGTCCAAGTTCTCTATAAACTTTCCTTAAAATATCAATAAAAAGAATTTTATAAAAATATAAATGGATCACATAATTTTCCTACTTAGCCATTCCATTCAGTAGCTGGTGTGCAACAAAATATTTATATATTAATGTAGCTTAGAAATGCCTCTCACCCACTCCTCTCGTGGCTTCTCCTCTACGTCATCAGTGCCTGGCCACCTCAGCTCCTCTGACTTTACAGCTTTGTTTCTTTCCCCAGGAATCTCTTTTCCTAGCTCTTTGGTTCCTTCTCACCCACTCAAACAAATACTCTTCAGAGGTTTTCTGTGACTATTCTTTTTCCCCCCATCAAATTAATTCTTTTCTGTTAGAGCACTTGGGCTCATAGCTGATCACCCCCCAGCAGATTTGCAGAGTAAATCTCATGGGAAGAAACTGCCCATCTTTCTTCTGCAGAGTTGCTGGAGGATTTGAACCACATGCCTTTGGGTTGGCAACACAACACCTTACCATTATCCACCAGAACTCCCTAAACTCCTCAACAGCATTATCTAAATTTTGTTCAACACTCTATACCTCAAACCTGGTGCATAGTAGTTAATCTATAATTACTTGAATAAACAAACAATTGGATTGTAACAAATATACCATATGGTCCACAAGATTACACTACATTTAAAAAAAACACTTGTCCTCTTTTCCTAATAATCAGTCTTTGTTAATATTTCTTACTTCACTAAGTTCTTACAGTTTAGTGTAGAAGACAATACATTTAGGTTTCTGAACTTAATATTTCTTTTCCATTTTAGTGTCAGAACTGTCACAAAATGGAAACTGTAATATTGAAGAAACATATAGAAATTCTCTTTCTTTATCTAAGAAAGTAGGCATATTTTCAGGACTACTTTAAATCTATGGTTTCCAAATGGTTTCAAAGCCCTAGGATTTCCTTTCCCCAGAAATTGTTGAGGCAGTTATGCAGAGAGCAGGGCATGAGAGTGAGTGGGGAGAATGCTCCAGGAGCCCCACCCTTGACAGAAGCAAAGCATCTAGACTTTTATTTTTACAAACTCGTAAGACGAGCCTTTATTCTAAGGGTTCTGCAGGGATCTTGGTATATTAATTTTGGAGCATAGCAGCTTTTTCTCTGAAAAAAGGCCTCAATAGAATCTCAGTCTACACACCTGCTGTAGAAAAGGCTCAGTTCAAGGGGAGATCTAGGTCCCAGACTCTGAAGGCACCCCCTCTATTGCTCCCACAAATAACCAGAAGCATTAGTGCACCTTCTAAGCACATCCTGAAAGACGTACCAGTTGGGTAGAGGATCTGAGAAAATAAAATCCTATCTCACACATAGAGGAAAGAAATCAACTTGCATTTCATTTTCTGTTAATAACTTTTTGCTCTCTTTTAAACACCTTTGTCGGGGCCAGAGCCAATGTGGGAAAGATGCCGATTCTTTGCTGCTTCCCAACAAGCAAGGTAAAGGGATGATGTAAAAACTGTTCTATACCTTATTCCTTGTTCTGCTCCCACACTCTACTTGTCTGGATGGGGAACTTGGAACATCAGAGAGCGTGGAACAAGCAATCACTTGTCTGTTCCCTCTTTTTCATTAACATAGATATTCATTTTTAAAAAATTAATTTTAATGAAAGTTTACAGAGACTTAGGGTTTCCAATCATTCATTGTTAAGTATATAGATATTCTTTCCATGTGGATTCTTGCTATGCCCTCAGCCTGCACGATGTGCTTACCAGGGGCCGGGGAATGGGTTTCTGTGGTTTCTTGGAGCCCAGCTTTTTCATGGCGTTGTAGTACTTCTTCTGTTCTTCAGTCATGAAGATGTCCTGACCTCCAAAGTAAAGGAGGAAAAAGAGAACAGGTAATTACAACTGGTTCTTATGCGAGAAGGGAGCAGACCTAAGGGTGACATTGTAAACTGAAGGATATTGATTTCTTTTTCTTCTTAAAGAATCCATCTGACTAATGGTTACCCCAGAGTGAAGTAGGCCTGGGATGATTCTAATTCAAGGAGATTCCTGTTTGTCTTCAGCTCGGACTTTCTGGTCCATAGGTAGAAAGGACAAGGACTATCCGATTACAGAATGCGTAGGAAAGGGGAAGGAGTCCTGGTGGCACAGTGGTTAAGCACTTGGCTGCTAACCAGAAAGCTGGTGGTTTGAACTCACAGTAGTTTCACAGGAGAAAGACATGGCCTCTGTTTCTAGTAGGATTTACATACCGTCCTGGAGACCTGCGAGGCAGCTCGGCCTTGTCCTATAGGCCACTATGTGTATAGTCAATGGGACAGTAATGGGTTTGGCTTTTGGTTTTGGTCAATAGTGAAGATGGTCCCAAAAAATATTTTTTTAAAAGTATTTATTTTCCCTTGTTATGTGCCACTGAATCAGATCTCACCAACACAGGAGATTTCCCCTCCTTCTCCATCAGAGCATCTGGTGGATTCAAACTGAGTGCCTTTGGGATTGCAGGACTGCTTCTTGCCACTAGACCACCAGACTTCCTGATTTTTTTTTTGTTTTTGTTCTGTTTTCCTGATAAAATTCTAGAAATTATATTTTAAAAAATAAGAAATTCTAGCACAAAAAACAATTTGGGTGTCTTAGAATTTGTTGGGACAGACTTAAAAATGAAGGATAAGAGTAATCTTCTCAATTTGCCTTGGACAAAGGATATGGAAGGCAGTTTCCCTAGGAGGATATCTTAAATATTCTTAACTATCAGTCTAGTGATGATGTCTGGGGGTTAACACTGATAACAAGCGCAGGTGTTCCTGTTGCTCCCCTGCTCTTTCCTTTCACCCCACCATGAAAGGTGTTCACTGACCTCTCCTCTCTCTGGTTTGAGGCTATTTCCCTTCACCCCCATCACAGAAGGCACTCTCTGACCCCTCCTCCCTCTGGTTCAAGGCTCAAACCATCAACAGACTTCAGAACCAAAAGATGGCTAGGACATAGGATAAGCACATGCTTACAGCCCCAATAGAAACACTACTGAAAAGAAAACGAACACTTCATAATTCCCCAGACACAAGTACACTCTTTTACAAGCAATGGAGATAATAACAGCCCTGCACTAATGTAAGATTAACACTTTAAAAATAAATGTATGTCTTGCATTAGTAAGACTAGGAAAAAAAAGGGGGGCTTTGTTTTACTCCAGCAGTTATCAAACTAAAGCCCTTCTTTGTTTTTGTATCTCCAAAAGATCCTTTATTGACCAGAGCAGGACTGTGGGGGGTGTGTGTACAGATGATAGAGATCTAGATAAATATAGATAAAAATATATTGTGTACTCTAGAGTTGGAACCAACCCATAGCTGACCCCTCCGGTGAGTTGTCAGAGACAGTTAATCATACAAAAAAGAATGCCCATTTTTTTTTCTCCCTCGGGGCAGCTGGTAGATTCAAACTATGAGCCTTTGGGATTACAGCACAGCTTCTTGTCACTAGGCCACCAGTGAGATTGATCAATTGATCTATCTATCTATCTATCTATCATCTATCTATCTCTATATAAATTTGAAGATCTGGCAGGCAGTAATCCCTTTGCCCATTCAACGCCCCCTTCCCAGCATTTATGTTCTTGTCTCCTGCATAGAGAAGGTGGATGGCTGCCCTACTCGGGCCATGTCCCCTACAGCAGGATAAAGAGGCAAATTAAAGCCTCCTGTGGTCCTTTCCAGCCTGTCCCTATAACATTTTGCTGTGAGTTACTCCTCATAAGCCACAACCTGTGAACAGCAGCAGCTATCTCGAGAATATTCCTAACACCAGGCCAAACAGTCCAGGATCAGGTGGCCGATCAGAACAAAACAAGATACTATGAATGCTTCTCACACTTGGCTGTCTTGTCCCGCCCATACAGAAGTCCCTGCAGTGTCCAAGACAGAGAGGCAGGGTTGGGAAGCTCTTTATCTCCTATATACATAATAAAATTTCCGCCTTTCCACTCCAACCATGGTTTCCAAGAGATTGTTTCCTTGGGTGGCAGGAGGCAAAACCTCAGTGTTGCAGTAACAGAAAAGAGTTGGCTAGAGCTAATATACACCAGGGCTAAGGCTACAGTGAGGTGACAATGTGGAGTTTAGAGGAAGGGAGAGGGATTCTCTCTTTCAGTTATAGCAGTAGGGACAGAAGTGGCTTTCATCTGGGTGGATCTCTGACCACAGGCAAGGAGGGGAGGAGACCTATCTTTTTCTTTTGTTGATTGAAGTTATCAATGATGACACCAATGAACAGGTTCAGGGTGAAGAAGGAGCCGAAGATGATGAAGATGACGAAGTAGATGTACATGTAGATGTTGTCCTCGTACTTCGGCTGCTCCTCCACCTGTCAAAGGTCAGGAGAGAAAAGGGGAGTCAGCTCCCAGCCTGGGGACCAGGTGGGCGGCCCTCACCTCCACAGTTATCAATCTGAACTCAGACCCTTCATGCTGCTGACCAACCTGGGTGGGGGAGTCCTAGATTCTGTGTGTCTTCTTCACATCAGCAGTCCCCACCCTGAGAAGGCGCTATTCTTGCAGTAATATATGGGGGAAATAAGCAAATCATACAGTCAAGAGGAAGGGAGGTGTCTGCTGGGAACCACACTTTTATTTTAAAGTGGGGACTGAAGAGTAGATGGCACGAGTGGAGCCAGGTTAAAGCCAACAGTCCAGTCATCGAGCAACAGTGTAAGAGCAAGATGACCTACTGGAGGAGGAAAAGGATCCAGTGTCAATGAACGGCGCAGTAAAGGTCCAAACAGGAAGGCCAACCTCTCCACCCTCCCTTCCTGCTTTGCTGAGGAGATTCACCATCTTTGGACTGGCTAAGCTGCTTGCTTCTGGACCAGCTAAGTGTGTTCTCACCATGCATAGCCTTACCTTTCGGGAGTCGACAGCCGCATACATGATGTCCATCCAGCCTTTGAAGGTCGCCTGGTAAACAGAGTCTGGCATTAGTCTGACTGTTAAGGGTGGGATCTTGGCAGGCTCCCCAAAAGGGTAGGTTTAGGTTCAGTGAAAACACAGGTAGGGAGTTTAAGTGAAGCTTCACTTGGATATCAAACTTCCTGTTTGTTATTACAGGTCCCAAGGGACCTTGTATAAGTACTTAAAAATAACCTCAAGGTTTGGCAAATAAATATGTTGACAATTAGGTAAGTGGATCAACAATTTTACAATAGACCTTAAAAATGGGCCTAGTAAGGCTACGTAAAGTTAAGAAAATTCTTACTTATGAGTGACTGACAGGAATCGACTGACTGAGGGGTGCTTAGAGCTTATTCCTCTACTATAAAGTGCTAAAACCCAGGGATCTGAAAAATTCATGGCTGCATTAAAACAAATTAAAAAACACAAAGTCAGGACTTTCCTCTACTAATATGCACAGGTTTAAGCCCTGATAGGGAGCTCTGGTGGCCTAGTGGGTACAGGGTCGTTCTACAAACCTAAAGCTATAGTCGGAACACCAGTGGCTTTACTGGAGAAAGATAGGCAATTTCCTGTGCAATCTGCAGCCTCTGAAAACACACCGGAGGGTCAGCTATGAGTTGGTTTTAACTCAATGGCATGTACCAACAATTGTGTATTTGTTTAACAGTTTAGAATATATAGTTTGATTTTGCAAATAATGTGAAACCAAGTTAATCCTTGGAGACTAGGATTTTGAAGCTCCATCTCACATACTTTGGGCACGTGGCTAGGAGGGACCGGTCCTTGGGGAAGGACATCATACTCAGAAGGGTGGAGGGACAGCATAGGAAAGGAAGACCTCAGATGAGATGGACTGACACGATAAATGTGGCAACAGGGGTAGGCGTGTCTGAGTCAGTGAGACTGGCTCAGGACAGGGCAGGCTGCAGACCTGTTGGACATAGGGTTGTTATGAGTAGCAGGAGACTTGACAGCACATAACAACAAATAAATATGAATAAGCAATTTAATACTCTTCATGCTGTGTTTATAGTTCTAGTAACTCAACAAGATTCTAAGCTTTATTTGAGCACAGACAGCCCTTTAGTCGGCCAATGGCCTTAGCGATGCCTAGCACAGGGCCTTGCATCTGATGTTGGCTCTGAATCCAGTGTTTGATTGGCTGGATGATGGACACGTGTTTCCTGGAGCTGCTCCAATTCAGATTCAATTTATGGGTATACTTTGTTTCTTGAACTGGGATAGAACAAGAAAATTGCTTTGTTGTTGCGTGCTGTCAGGTCGGTAGGAACTCATAGCAGACCCTCCAGTGGGTTTTCAGAGGCAGGAGGAGAAGACGGTGGATTTGAACCATGTGCCTTTGGAATTGTAGCACAGGTTTTTACCATTAGGCCACTAAAAATCTGGTGGCAAGGAGTAGTGCTATCAATTCAAAGACATGCAGTTCGAATCTGTCAGCTGTTCTATGGGAGATGGACAGTCAGCTCCGGTGTGATTTACTGCCTCTGGAAACCTGCTGGAGGGTCAACTGAGAGTCAGTTCTGATTTGGTGGTACAGAGCAACAAAAACAAATAGTTTAAGGTGAAGTGAACTACTAATGAGAGTCAGTTTACTTTGCCTTGTACTACCAGTCAGCATTTAACACTTAGCAGGTGTAAGGTTGGGTGAGGGCTTCTCCTACAATATTGCATGTGATCCTCTCAACAACTGCAAGATACAGGTGTATAACAATAGTTACCATTACCTGAGCATTGTTATGTACTAGGCTATCGGTGGTGGAAATACTTAACACATTTAGCTGCTAGCTGCAACACTGGAGGTTCAAGTCCACCTAGAGGTCTTTGAAAGAAAAGCTGGCGATGAACTTCTGAAAAACCAGTCTCTGAAAACCTTACGGAGCATGGTTCTCTCACATACAAGGGGTTGCCCTGAGTTGGGCTCCGCCTCATAGCGACTGGTTCTGGTTATGTGTGAGGCACTGTGCTAAGATCTTTGGATAAAATGGCATAACTTTTCTCAATGATTGTGAACAATACATATTGTGTATTAATAGATAAGGAAAAAAGAACTCACAATTGTCCAAAGTTACATGGCTAATACTGTCTGAAAGGTACATCTATCTAATTGCAAGGAAGCTTGCATTGCATTAGGTTGTTTAATATGATATATAATATAAAGAAAAAAGAGGATGGGTTGAATGAAATCAGGAAAAAGAGAATTAGTTACCAACATCATGACAATAAAATACTTTCTTGCTATGATGCACTAAGTTAATACTTTATTCTCCAGGTTGATGTGACATTAGTGGCAACATCATAGCTTTGCTATACTTGTTTCCTTATTCAACTCTAGTGTAGCTTTTATGGAGGATTGCTCTGTTCGTATTTGATTTACCATCACATTTTTCCCCTTTATGAGTTGGTTTTATAATTTTTTCTTCCTCTTAACATTTTGACACAGAGAAAGTTTCTCTGCAAATATATTATGCTGTACGAATTTTTACTCGTTCCTAAGCAAAACTCTGATTCTGAACACAAAGAAAGACATCATGATTTTTAAAGAATGCAAGGACTAGGGATGATAGAAGGAGAATTGATGCCTTTGAGCTGTGGTGCTGGAGTAGAGTGCTGAATATACTATGGACTGCTAGGAGAACAAACAGATTTGTCCTGGAGAGGGTGAAACTGGGCTGCTCCTTGGAGGCAAGGATTCTGAAGCTTCATCTGACATACTTTGGGCATGTTGCAAGGAAGGACTGGTCCTTGGAAAGGGATGTCATACTTGGTAGGGTGGAGGGACAGCGCAGGAGAGGAAGATCCTGGATGAGATGGATTCAATCACTAGGGCTATGGGGGGAGGTGTTCAGAGACAGTGAGGTTTGCATAGGATAGAGCAGGGTTTAGGGCTCTTGCACATAGGGTCACTACTAGTCACATGTGACTCAACGGCACATAACAACAACAACAAACTGTATGGTTTTACCTAAATCACCCTCCCCCACACCCACACCCTATATGAGATCAGATCAGCCCAGCACCACATGACATCTCAAAACGAAATGGGAACCTTTGGTTTAGTAAGGCAGATAATGGGATAAGAACAACTCAGAAAATGAGGGTAAGAAATGGCTGCATGACTTGAACCACAAAAGCAATGGCACTGACTTGACCACTTAGAACTGTTGAAAGGGTATATGTTTTGCTATTTATATTCTTGCCTTGCCAACAATAAGGGGGTGGGGGGAAGACTTCTTTTGGGTGAGAGCTTATAGAAAATAGCAAGTACTCTGGAAAGATGTTTTCCTGGAACTAGCAACGACACTGCTATCTTGGGTTTGCTAAGAATAACCTGACTCCAGAAGCAAGGTTGAAAATGAACCAAATGGGATTTCTGTTAGTCGTCTGAATTTCAAGGGACTAAAGAAAGGACAATACTTACCACTTGAAGAAGGGCCAGGTATCCTGCCCCAACGTTGTCAAAGTTGATCTTCACGTTCTTCCATCTGATTTCTGTATTATTTCCTTCCATGAGCCTTTCACAATCAGTTTTATTGTTGACAATTTCGATTTCAAATCGCACTTCAGAAGTCTCATTAAAACAATAGTGATACTTCCCCGCAAACAGGTTAACTCCCATGATGCTGAAAATCAGCCAGAAGATGAGACACACCAGCAGCACATTCATGATGGAGGGGATGGCGCCCACCAAGGCATTCACCACCACCTGCGTTGGAAGGGGAGGTTGCTGAGTGTTGGGAGGAAGTGGGAGCAAACACATTCTTCTGATTTCCAGGAGGGGAATGACACCGAGTGGGCTTGCTCTGACTACGGGAATGCGTTCCCTTGGAGTAATTGGACAGAGCCATAGGGAGGGCCAAACCTTTTGAGATTTTTAAGACTAGTATTTTGGGGGTGATTTCAAGAACCACATTTTTATTTCAAGAACTGTAAATTCCCCTATCCAGGCTGACCTAGGTCTTTTCTCTAGGAAGCAACCTGGGACAGTAAAAAAAGATTTCTTAGCCCAGTTTTCCTCCTCCCTGACTCATAAAATATGATCCCGTTAGAAAACTGGAGAAACGTCAAGCTCACTGATTGTCTTTCAATAGGCATTCCCCCTCTGCAAAACAAGATGCATGATCAAAATCACAGAGAAGTGCCCTTTTGGGTTAGCAGCCAACGGTATGTAAAGTACATTTTATGACTATGCAAGGCCAGTTATCTCATTTCAGGCAGTCGCTGAGCATGCATATTTTGCAGGCTCAAGAAAAAAAAAGCTATATTCCCTCTACCAAATACTATAAAATAAATCTGAACAGATGTGCTTTTCACTCAGTGCATTATTCTTTTTCAGTCTCCCCCCCACCCCCACTGGCTATATATATTTTTAGTCTCAGAATCGCTGCCCTGCCGGCAGACCAGCTGCTACACATTGACGGCTTAGTTAATGCCCATTCCAGGGCTTGACTGGATTCTTCACAATGTATTAGAAATAGTAATTATGGAGGGTTGTTTTTTTTTTTTACATTTCTGGGGGGCTGAGATAACTGTAATTGGAACTAAAATACTGGCATATAGTTAATAAAAATAACTGACTACAATAAATGTGGGGATGAGAAAGCAAAGAGAAAACCTCTCAGGAATCAATGTTTGTAGGTTGCTTTAACTTTTTGCCTCACACTTAAGATGAGAGAAGCTAGACATACTTCTACTGATGGAGCAGTTTTCACTCAGAGATTTAAAGGGCTTAAAAAACACCCCAAAACAATTTCAGGTGGCGGGCCAGCAAAGTTGGGAGCTAATATACCACCTTCTGCCCTGAGCTTTATTTGATGCTGCTGTGTTAAGCACAACTACTCAGGTCCCAAAAGCTTACCCTAGAATGAAAAAAGTATTCCCTAGCACCATAGCAGGATTACTGAAATGGAAATAAGACATTAGGTATAAAAGTTCATCTTCTCAAATATTATAGAAGGTGTCCCTGCATCAGTTTTTCAACGCAAGAGAGGTCCACTAGCACAGCACCCATAGGGTCATGAGGTAGAAAGAACACTAGGGGGCAGACAAGGGCTCTATTTGGAATTCTCCTTAGGTTTACGTTTTCCTTCTGTTTCTGCCTAATGCAATGTCCCTCATTGGAACATATAGCTAAGAAGAGCTATCTAATCTGGTCTGCTTTGTTTTGTTTTGTTGGTTTCTTTTTTTTAAAAAACTGCAGTGATATTTTGCTAAGGACTCATTCTTTTAAAGTACTGATTTTGTGTTTCTTCAATTTCTATATGAAAGCCTTACTGTAGACTGAGAGGCAGTTATTTCTTAATTTTCAGACCAAGAAATCTCTTCTCATAGCACTGTCATTAGTATAAAAGGGCTATAAGTCAACTGTTAATGCAAGGAAAGCCAGAATATCTGAAATCTGGAAAAATCCTCAAAGCGATTTTGGATGATGCTATTAGTAGTTATTTGTTAGTTATCAAATTTGCCAGATGGTCAAATTTGAATTTTATCTCCTCAATCTGCAGTGGTGCACTCTTTGGTGGGAACACCAAAAAGCAATGAAATGTGCAAAAGAACAGGCAAAGGGAGGATGGTCCACAAATGGAATAATCATTCCTTAAACAATAAGAGAGCAAATAAGGTAAAAAGATTCAAAGACTCAATCTATGTGACAGGTTCCTGAAGCAGAGGTTAGGTGGGAGACCATGGTCTTCTATCCACCACAACTGTGCCTCACCAATGGAAACCCAGGAGTAGTGCTTTTTGCCTCAATTTAGAACCTATTTTCTTCCAGAAGTCTTCTATACACACCTACGCTGACAAGTCTTATGTCTTTGTTACAGTTAGATATGGGGTTATATTTAGTTGACTATGCAAACTTTTTGCATTTTTTTATACTGATAAATCCAATGAATATACAAAAGTACTTACTGAGCCTTGCTCTGGTGACATAAAAATCCAGTGCATTTATTAGATGCAAATAGAATTTCATTTATAAATCATAATCAAGGAAAAATGTCTTAGTCTAGTTAATGTTATGAATAAAAATTAAGAGTTGATAAAACTAATAATTTTTCTTGCTGTGAACATCAGCTGATAAGCTGTGAAACGTTATAGAAATTATTTAACTGCACTTTCTATGTAGTTGTGTTTGTAGTAGTAGTCTCAGCAATCAAGAGGGCAAGAAGCTGTGCTCTCTGATCCTACACTTCCACACTACAGATAAATAAGAAACAAGAACTCAAAGGTCCTTGGGTAGTTGCTTAATAAATTGATCTCTTCTCTCTAGCAACTCTCTGGTTAGTGTACACTTACTTGTGACCAAAGTGTTAAAAACTAAGTATTGATATTACCCAAGCCTAGATCCTTTCAATTTGGACAGTTTCTCCCCCCCAACCCCAGAAGTTTTTACTTAGCAATTGATAGAAATCTAAGTGATAAGAAAACTCCCACGGATACTAATCCTTACAGCATTCCTGTCTTTTCTGCAATGCCAAACATTATTAAAAAAACCTGTCAATTAGCTTTTAAGATCTGGCAGAGGGAACATGGCTTTAATGGACAACTGTGTACTGACAATCAACAAAAATGCATGCATGTCTCATAGCATTACTATGAAATATTCTCAAAAAATGTAATAGCACAGCAAACTTTTTGAATGATTACTATGGAGGAGAGTAAAGCAAAGAACTACATTAAGTATTCCTTTGCCAATGGGATGAGTATTTCAATGTTCTGGTCTTTGGTTTGAGGAAAGAGAGAGGGAGACTGGAGTCAGTGTTCCAGGACGGCTAGGGTCATGTGTTCCTGGTCAAGAGGAATGCTGAGCAGCACAGTGACAGTTGAGCTTATCTGGATTAAATGCCATTCAGTTCATGAAGACTTCTTATTTGACACTTTCTTTCAAGAAACAGAAGAATCCAAACCAATGAACGAAAAAGAAAGACTCTTCCCCTAAGAAAAATTAAGTTAAAGGTATGCACCTAATTGTGCTCATTACTGGGAATGTACTATAAACATGGCCAAATGCCCTATTTTCTTCTTTCAGTTAATCTTCTACAGAAGGGCTGGGCAACTGCATGATAGGAGTGAACCCTTGAATCCTTCCTGCCTACTCAACTGGCTAGGATTAGTTTTTTGGCTGACTGGAGTCAACTCAAGACCTACACCAAAGCTGTGCTCTGTGTTTAAACTTGTTCTTGTCTGTATTATCTTATTTGAAAATACATTAAGATGTTTCACTTTAGTGCTTTTCAAGTAAGACTTTTTTTTTTTATTGCTTCATTCATCTACTCTGGAGCTCTGGACCCTCAAACTGCCTGACAGAGTCCAGGGAAGGCAGGACAACAAGGAGGAGCTAGAGGAAGAGGGGTGGCCATCAAAAGGGCTTTTGTATGCAAATTATTCAAACACACCATGCACACTGGCATCAGCTGGTCCCCCGGGATGGACCTGGGAGTAATGAGGTGGATGGAGAAAGCCATTAACTAGTGCTGCTGGCCATTTTTTCTTGGCTCAAGGATCACTGCTATTGAACTGTGGAGGTTCAAAGGCTACTACTGAGCTCAGGCACGAGGTTGCCTGTATTGCTTCAGTGGACTTCTCATTGAATTTTGGCTTCTGTTTTTCATGAAAATCAATTATCAATTCTATCAAGAAGTTAACATCATCTAATTAAAAACCAACTCTTTCTGAAAAACCTGAGAAGGGGGACAAACAGGGAATATATAATTTAATCCTATTCTAAATTAAGGCAGTTAACGATGACCTTATGGTGTCCATTTGGACATGTCTCTCTTCCATGAGAGGAAGACTTAGAACTCACAGCAGTTGATTTAATTCTAAGATAAAATTATGCTGCTATAGAACCACCTTTCCTGAAGAGGACTTTTTGGGGAGGGGTTCACCAAGCTAACATTTACACTGTGACTCTGCTACAGAAGAAATATGAGTTGGGTTGCAAAGAAATGTTTATCCAAATAGACTACAAGAAAACAGATTTCCAGTCCCAGTGAAATGTCCATTTTCCTGTGAAACTGTGGATGGCTTCATGGAGTAGTGGCCAGGGAATCACAGATGATGAATGAATGAAGCACTGCTGTCCTCGTGTCTCTTCTTGTCAATTACTCTTGTTTCACGTGGACTACTGCCAACAGTTTAATTTTCATTTATACATTCAGATATTTGTATGTTTAAAAACATGTCTTCTGGTTTGCTCTCCTGCATGTGTTCAACATCTGAACTAAAATGAGTTTTCTTGGTCTCGTTAAGTATAACAGACCTCTCTAATTAGGGGAGGGCAATTATTACCCTGGGTGCCAGTTGTCCACTTGATCCTAGGAAATTGATTTCTCTTTCTGTGTGTACATGTGCAAACATGTGCACACCCACACCCACACACTTATTTACACTAAGAAACAGAAAAAAGGCACTGAATGAGGGAGCCTTATTTCTAAGTTATAAGGATGACAGCACCTTGTATTATATGGATTTGGGTTTTGAAACATCAAGTTAGGAATGGGAGGTGTTGAGAAATTTCAGGAGATCTAGTTGATATTCAGTCACCTAGCATTGTACATGTTTGTTATTTGGCAGTGTTAGGATAGGGGACCTTATGCATGGGCAGAGGGGTTGGGAATGAGAAGGAAAGCTTTGCTATCAGACAGAGGCTGCCAGTCCTTATGGGACTGGGCTGAGAACAACAAGGTGCAACAAGAGGAATCAATCAGAGTAGAAAGAATAGCATTTCTTCTCCCAGAGTCATTCCAAATTCTGCTCCGTCCCCAGTTCCACACCTGCCATCAGATCTCATGTCCCTGCTCAGCTGCATTTCCATGACTCCAAGGCCACCGTCCCGCCTGGTGGACGTCCTTGATATAGCACGCTGCCTGGCTGCAGCCTACGCTTTTCAGTAGGTCTGTGGGTTACAATTCCCCTTCTTTGCACCTGGTGATTCTCCCTATTATTATATCAACAGCCCAAAAAAGCCGCCCCAAGTGCTACAGGTAAGCCAGGCCAAATGAGAATAGCCAAGGTTAACATGTTCTGCGATGGCATGTTGTTGGGAGTGGGGCCAATATATTAATGTGATGAGGCAGCTTAATGCAACTCCCCTTCGCACGGGGCAGGTGCGAGGGAGAAAGAGTGGAGGATCGAATCAGCAGCTGCATCACAGAGTTTGTGTCTGAATGATCTTTCCACCACGTGATCAGTTCTAGCATGCTTAAACAGTTTCCATTGGCATGCAGAAGGATCAGCTGCTCTTAGTATCTTACCCTCATCCCTTCAAATCGTGATAAGGCTCTTAAGGGTCTCAAAGCTCTTAGGGTCCTAAGGGACTTTATGGCACCTAGTTCCGAGTAGCCCAGGGCATTAGCTATAAGGCTGACTAAAGAGACCTACACAGAAACAGAAGAGAAAACAAAAAGAAAACAAAACAACAACAAACACAAAAAAAAAAAGGAAAAAAAGAAAACAAGAGGTTCCAGAGTGTTAGAATAAAACCCCTAGCACTGATTAAACAGATTGGGCCCACCCCCCCCAGGTAGAGGAAGTGGGTAACACCAGCTGCCTACTTCAACTTGACTCAAACGACCTGGAAGGAAAGGTGGTTGAGAGGCCGAAGAAAAAACACAAAGGGAAGAGAAAATTGAGAAAAGGCGGCAGAACATACATACATGTTGGAAAAGGGAAGAGGCGAAAGGGGGAGGGATCAAGTGAGGAAGTTCCATTGGAAGGAGAGGAGCCTGAACAGATGACAAGAACCTTACCCTCGCCCTTTACAGTCTCTGCAGGTCCCAGAAGTTCCCATTAAATTAAGCCAGACAAATTTAATGGTACCTATGGAAAAGAATACAGATAAATACACACACTCCACACAAGCTGCCCCCTCCTCAGTTCATTCACCACTGGGTTTCCAACAGGGAGAAGCTCCCTTAATCCTGGTTGACAAGAAACCATTTATGTGAGGCTCTGATGAGTTACTACATCAACACATGACATATGTGATAAATACCATAGATGCCTTTGCTGTTACAAAGAAGAAAAGAACCAAGTGAGGACTCTCCTTGACAGGATTTTGGCTTCATGGAAACTCACTTCATTCTCCTATACCTTGCTTTGAACTGAAACAGTCTTTACATTTTTACCAATAGCCATGACCCTTCCATGGTCAGAAGTATTTGAGTGCATCTGGACATGTCAATTCACAATTCCCAGTGATTCTGAGGATGGTGCAGGATCAGGCAGTATTTTGTTCCATTATTCCGTTCACTCTCAGTTGGAACAAAGTTGCTGGCACCTAATAAGAATAATCATTTATTTGCCCTCCAGAATAGCCCCAAATGAACTTGTCTCTGATCTGTGACTTCTAGTACAAACTTCTAGTATTACTTTCATGATTAGAATATAGCTAGGAAGAATCCTAGGAGAATTTCTCTTTATATTATAGAAGTTTAAAATGAGACATTCCCTCCCAAGAATTTGTTCAGTGTCCCCTCAGCAGTCTAGAGTCGGGATTAAAGTGCTATATTCCCAGTCTTTTCATTGCTCTTTCTTCCTGCCCCATAGGCATGCTGGATGATAACAATACGATTGTAAGTGTTTCAACAGTCAAAAATTGAATATATTAGCTAAGATAAAGCATGTGTTTCTTAGAGAAGTCTTGCATTCACCTTCCATCACAAATCCTGGGTTAAGAAGTTCCCATCAACAGGACTGCAAAAAGAACAAACATCTGTTATAGAGAAAGGGCTACAAAGTGAAACTTCGTTCCACATCCTTCAGGCAGGTGTTCAGAAGGGGTCAATCTTTGGAAAAATGAGAGACAACATGTTGGGAAGAGCCAGGCGTGGGGGTGAGTGGTTAGCAAAAGAGAAAATGACCCTCGGTGAGACGGACTGACAGTGGCTACAACAATGAACTTGAGCATGGCAGAGATCACAAGGGTGGCACAGGACAGGGCAGAGTTCCAATCTGTTGTTGACAGGGTCGGTATGAATTGGAGTTGACTTGATGACACCTAACAACCACTAAGAAGTGGCAGTTGAAGAGTTTTTTCAGCCTAAATGGATGACATTTTAACACAAGTTTAGGTGGTGATGGTGGTGTGAGGGGGTGAGAAATAGTCCACAATTTCATTTCATTGCTCCTCTTTTTATCCCTGTCACAGGGCTTTATGTTCTCTGACTTTGTATTCTGAACGGCATACAATTATTTTCTTTTTTAAAATGAAGACATTAGTAGTTAAGTGGCAAGACTGGTAGATGGTAGAAATGGAAGGTTATTGCTCTGGCCATGGTCAGGGATGAGCAGGCTCAAGTCTAAACAAGGACGTGGGCCTCTGTCTATGTATGTACTTATCTATCCTCTGAGTAGGTATCTTCTCCGGAGTCCCAGGCAGGGTCTAAAGCAAACTGGGAACTGGCTGTTGCCCTATTTCAGGCTACCTTTGCTCTTTGAAGTGGGACTGGTGCAGAGTTCAACCTCATCCAGAAACAAGGATCTCAGAAACTTTATGCAAAACAAAGCACCTATGGAGAACTTTTCACTCTTCATTATCAGTAAGAGTCTATATGAAGGTGTCTTTTGCTTACGTAGCCAACTCTTAACCCAAGATATTCTAAATCAGCCAGATGCTTAGTGATATCGCAATAGGAACATCTGGAGGTAACCTATCCTGCCTTAAAGAATTACTTGTGCTCAAAAGTATCCTAACTCAGTTTATTTCTGTGAGACTATGCCAGGTAAAGGCTGAAAAACATTAAGCCCAGCAGAACTCAAATGACTATGGGCTCCATACAAGGCAAGGAGACCCAGATCTTCAGGGGTGGTTTATAAGATAACAAGTGAGCCTGAAGTGGGAAGAAGGATGGAGGAGAGTGGGAGCCAATCTAGAGGCTCCTGTAGCCCAGCTGGCTCTAAGTACGGCTGAGAGGTCATCTGCTGCTCAACTGGTCAATATGGCAGAGATTCCCCAAGGTGCAACTCAGAAGGGTCTTATCAGGATTATATATGTTAGCCACTCAGGGCTCTCTTAGAATCCCTGAATCCTCATGCTAAATTCCCAGCACACTATTTAAATGATGCTTTATGGGGGTGGAGGGGGAGGGGAATCTAAAATGGAAGAAAACAAAACAAAGAGTTGTAGCTATACTGCAGGCATAGAAAAACGGGGAAGACAACTATGAGATATCATCTCACCCTAGTAAGAATAGCAAAATTAAATAGAGCAGCAAATAACAAATGCTGGCAAGGTTCTGGAGAAACTGGAACCTTTATTCACTGTTGGTGGGAGTGTAAAGTGGTGCAACTACTATGGAAGGCATTATGGCGCTTTCTCAAAGAGTTGGAAATAGAGATACCATTTGACTCAGCAATTCCTCTACTGGGAATATACCCTAAAGAAACCTTAACTGCCACCTAAGCAGATATATGTACACCTATGTTTATTGCTGCTTTGTTCATAATAGCAAAGAGTTGGAAACAACCCGAGTGCCCAGCAACAAACGAATGGACAGTGAAACTGTGGTATATTCACACAATGGAATACTGAACAGCACTGAAAAACAAGGAACTCATGAAATACTATATATACAAAATGAGTGACCCTGGAGGACATTATGTTGAGTGAAATATCTTTTACTGCATAATGCCACTGGTATAAAACAGGACTGACATTGGGTTTGGGGGTAAACTAAGAAAGGACGGGATAAATAATCTACACAGCATTGAAACTGATGAGGGAGAGAACTGTTTAAAAGGGATATATGATTAGGTATTTTTTGCATGGCAAGAGTCCAGAATAAGAACTGCATAGTAAAGTGGACTGGGGCAGGGATGGTATAACAATGAAAAAAAATTTTTTTTCCTTATCAGAGAGAAAAGTGAATGGGGGGGGGGAGGGAGGAGTGGGCAGGGAGGAAAATGAGCAACAATGAATGAATGGAAATCAAAGTTCTCTATAATCTTTCATTAAAATCTCAGTTTAAAAAAGTGGGGGAAGACATTGGGCCACTTTCTCAAAGAGAATGCAAAAGGACTCAGGATGAGGCAAGTAGTAGCTGAAAGTTCCCATTTCCTTGAAGAAAAGATGACAGAGGCTAATATCTTCAGTACCACCAGGGACCTCTGAGCAAATTAAAATGTAGCTCCTGGCTTATAAATAGGGATAATTAACTTTGGAAGTTGTCAAGATTATTTCTATGATTCTGCGTAGTATCAGCAGCTTTTAAGAGGCAACAAGGAAGAATGAAAATCTACTAGGGAAATCACTATGGTGATGAGCAACAGAGGCAGACACCACATAACAAAGGGCTGAAGTGGGAGGGGAGAGTCTTGTCGGGTGAATGTGCTAAATTAGGACCTAACATTTATACCTGCGAGATATTCCAAAAAACCAAAGAAATGGCAACTTTCACCCAAATAGACAGCAAAGATGCTGACAGGTCAGGCTGTTGAGGTGACAGTCCAGGCATTATTTTGCAACTACAACCAAGAGTGGCAACCGCTGTGAAGGACATGCACAGCAGCTGGTGTGGGGCTGCCACCACTCAGCACTGCTCTGTTCTCCTGCTGTGGCTGTAAGTGTGTTTTCTCAAGCCCTCAGGGAGACGTGCTCAACCCTTATATATAGCACAAGAATTGTGGATGTTCACTCCATGTAAAGTGAAGAAGAAATGAACAGCAACGTTTGACAAAGACAAATATCAGTCCCCAAATGCTAGAATATTATAACCCAGAGCAGAGTTATCTTGCAAATTAGCGGAGGTCCTTTAGGGCCAGGACCATGCCTACCTGTTCCTCTGTTAGTGTGCTTTGGCTTCTGGGAGAATCCGACACATTGAATGGTATTCTATTTCCATTACTAACAACTGATAGAAGACAGAGGTGTTCTCAGGTAGGCCCTATAGAAATGTGATAATCCAGTAACTCCCCAAAGCCAGAAATTTACTGACTGTCAGTTGGCTATAAGTTTCTTTTTCAATCCCTGCCACTCAGTATAGGAAGTGATCTTCCAAAAAAAATATTTGATAAAGAGTGATCCATAGAATGTTAATGTTTTTAGCATGTATTTGGACACTTAAACAATACTTTGAATTTGGGAGTTGCTCACCCATCAGAGAAGAGGGAGATAGTGGTTCACATTAGGGTAGATGGTGCAAGAAAAGGTCATGGTGAGGAAGTTTTGTCCCAAGCCAGTGTCACTGCAGGGCAGCTGGGAATGTGGTAATGGAGACGTCTAAATTATCTGGTCCAGAATATGGAAGTGAGGGTATTTCTAGGACTCCACTGCTCTACCCCATGAATCCAAATGGTCCTGAGATATTAAGAGAAAAATGAAGCCTCTAACTACATCCCCTGTTCTCTGGGGAAGAGAGTGGACCCCGTCTCACTTTAGTTCTCTAAGTTTTACCCTAAATCTATTTCCGAAGGTTGAGAGGTCAAGCTTTTCATCTGTGGGAAGCAGCGGTCCTTCTTTCCTGGTATCCACAGCTGCTGAAGGAAGTAGTGAAACTTCTTGCCAGGGTCTCATGCTGGATCCTCTGGGGCCCCACCCTTAGCTCAATTTAAAGGCTCTCTCACTTAATTTAGACATTTCTCCAATTTCAGATCTGCTTTGTGAAATAGGGGATAGAAATGGGAGGATAATGATAACTCTTGGAAGGAGTGATTAACTATGGGAGTTGCTAATATCAACTGTGGGGAAATGCATTTATAAAGCAGAAATCATTACTAGTGCAAAGCATTGGGTTTTTTAACCTAACAGATATTTCCATTCTGCTCTGTCTAGATAGCAGAAAGATATGGAAACAGGATGCTTGACGGCACATAACAACAGCAGATTCTAGAAACATTCTATGGTTAGTTCACAATACTGTCAATAAACCTGTATTCCAAGTGTATCAATCCAGCTTCCCAATTTCCTTGGCACTTCTCAGCCTTCAGCAGGAAGTGAATTCTCCAGAGGCCCTGTCCCTGCAATTCCCTTTTACCCTTTCTTTATATTGCAGATTTGACTGGAAGGAAAAACAAAACAAAACACCTGTAGTTATTACACAGAATGAGAGACCAGTCAACACTGTTAGTGAAGTCAACGAGGAACGAGTGCTGGTGGGTTGAAAAATGGTTATAGATGATGCAGCATCCAACCTGAAAAATAACACGTGGTGATGGCCACCAAGTCCCCAAGATGATCTTGAAACCTGGAAAAAAGGACTGTCAAGTTTGATCACTGTACAAGACTGCAATGCATTGGCCTTAGGAATGGGATGCAAGGAGTTTTCAACATAATATATTACTTTTTAAAAACAACAAGCTGGTTAAACGTTATTTTGGTATGACAAGCCCTCCCACTCTCCCTGATTAACTGACTTGCTCAGTCAGCCTGGTACCAGGCCTTGAGTTAGGTGGAAAGTTCCCCAGGCATGGTTAGCAGAAGAGGCTACACAGACCCATCATCATCTCTCTCCCAGCAGCACTCACCTCACTCTTGCTCCTTCTTCTGGGAGAAAGAGGGCATGTGGCTGCTTTGGGGCAAGATCTTTCCGTTCCCAGCCTTAAAACAAGGGGCTCTGAGACCCGTGATCCCACCTCCCATTCATAATCTCTGAATCTTCTTGGCCAAATCTGCCAGAGCAAAGATGGCTAGTTAGTCCCTGGAGTAAATACGAGGACTTCAATGCCCTCTCTCCACATTCATATCTGAGTGTGAGCTTTAAGCAACATCTACATCTTGCCTACGCCTTTTCCCTGCGTCTAAGGCTTCTGCAGCCATTAGAAAGAGCCCTTCTTTCTGTTTTCCAGCTGAAAGAGAAGGCAAGTAGAAAGCGGGACACGTACAGCCACAATGAGGAAGTCCAGCCAGCACCAGGCGTTGGTGAAGAACTTGACGAAGCCATAGGCTGTCCACTTGAGTAACATCTCCAGGATGAAGATATAAGTGAAGACTTTGTCAGCATATTCCAAGATGGTGCGAATGGTCTTTCTCTGCTCAATGTAGATGTCTTCAAAAGCCTGAAAGAGAAGTAACTGCTTATAGTGCCTAAAAGCATCGGAAATACTGCCATTCTTGGAATGCTCTTCACACATGGAGTTAGCCTATGAGTCTATCATTAGTTCCCGGCCACTTTTATTTTACTTCCCTGCTAAGTATGGTACTTAAAAAAACCGGCATTATTATGATTCATATATTTTATAACTGATAATCGGACATTTTAACATATAGCATATTTAGTGTATCTGGCCCTATAATCAACTAGAGAATGTTTTTCGCTCTCTCTCCCTTCACCTCCCCTAGCCTTAGGCAAGTATTAATTTACTTTCTGCCTGTAAAGATGTCTATTTTGGATATTTCATATACATGGGATCATACGATGTGTGTTCCTTTGAAACTGGCTTCTTCCATTCAATACAATATTTTCAAAGTTGGTCCATGATGTAAAATGCATTAGTACTGCCTTTATTTTTATGGCAAAATAGCCATTTTATGGATATACTGTGTCATTTTTTTTAACCTTTATCAGTTTGTGGACATTTGTGTTGTTCCTATTTTTGTGAAAAAGTGGCTAAGAACATTCATGTACAAGTCTGTAGATTTCTATTTCATTTCACTTGAGTACATACTTATGTGGTGTCAGAAACCCTAAAAATTGGCTTTTCTAGCCTTCGTGTTAGCCTCTGTTGTGTGTGTGTGTGTGAGGGGCATGGTCTTCAGGGACCTTAATTGTAGACATATGGTCTTGCAAATCATCAATAGCTGTGGGACCTATAAGAGAGAGAGCTTTCTAGACTGTGAAGTATTCTGGTGAGAGTGGTGGAGAGAGGGTAGAGACTGTGGCACTGCTGTGAAGAGAATGAGCAAGGTGTAACCAGAGGAACCCTGCATTTATGCTACAGTTGAAGGTTTTGCTTGCCAGATAATTAAAGGAAAAGCTGTCTTACAATTGCTCTGACATAAAGTCTGCGGCGTGATTGAGGAAATCAGAGAGTTCTTGCATTTGTGCTGCTGAACCGAACCCAGACAGCCACTAATTGAGGAACTGTGCTTTGTTAATCTGGCTTGGAACTGCTGGACTAAACCCGGACTTGCACTGTATGATATTCTTTGCCTCTTCCATTCTCCAACTATTTCCCTAATGAACTCCACAACTGTGAGCAAAGTCTGAGTCAACAACAAACTCAGACCCAACGACTGGTAGAAATAGGTGCAGGAGCATTGTAGGGAGCATGTCTGACCAAGCAGCTTTCTGTTTGCTGCTATGGATATCACTGGTGGTGACAATTTCCTTTATGAAGTGGGTACAGGTCAGACCTGGCCACCCTCACAGTGAATCTGCTCCTTTTACAACCTAGTACTGGCATTTCTGAACGTGGCATCTCTCGAGAGGATCATTCCCATGAACAACATATAACAATTCCAGTTTCTCTACAGTCTCACCAATACTGTTGTTAAGTGCCGTTGACTCATAGAGCTTATGATTTGAACCCTGTTCTATCCTTTGCCACCCTTACAATTTCTGACACACTCGATTCTATAGCTGTAGTCTCTGTGTCAATCCATCTTGTTGAGGGTCTTCTGTCTTTCACAGACCTTCCACATTTCCAGGCATAATGTCCCTCTCCATGGAATAGCTATCACTAGAAATGTTTTTTATATAACAAAATGTTTTAATTTCTTAGGCCCTTGATAGCAGTTTGAGGTTATAGGGGGGCATAGAAGATAAGCAGGTGAGGAAATTTTTAGTATTACTTTCTTTCTCTGGTAATTATGAATGAGGTAATTCCTTGATAGGGAGGGGTGGCTATTCCTAGTGGCAGAGTGGCAGACTGCATGGATGTGGTACTTGGAGGAGATAATTCCTGAGGCTGGAGGGAATAAAATCCCCAAGAAAACCCACTCTGTAAGGTGAAAGAATGTCCCCTGTCAAGTAATGGGAGGTGCCTGTTTTGGCCACTTCAGAGGGAAGAACAGAAGTGGGCTCCCGGCAGCCTCGTCTTCCGACACAGGCATATGCACATCAGATGCTCCAGTTTCATCACTAGGCAGTGGAGGCAGAGGCCTGCTGTGGGTGTTGGTACACATATATTCCCACAGCAGTCCCCCCCCCCCCAAACTCCATTTCTTAGGAAACCTTTCTAGAACCCAAGATCTGTGAGATGTCTCAGACAGAACTTCTGGTGCCCAGGGGCTGTAATGTCCACTCTCAGAAGTTTCTTAACCCCATTCTGGTCTTTTGGTGTATGTGTTAACTGTGTCATCATTTAGTGAGTCTGAACTCTCGTGCTCACTACTCCATAGGGTCTTCTGATATGAGCCAACCTCTTCCTTATTTGTTATGACAAAACTGTCCAAGGAGAACAGTCACATAAGTTCAAAACTTAGTTTAGTGCTGCTTTTATTCTTCTTTGCACAGATGGGAAAGAGCAGACTCTCTCAAAGGTTGGGCATGTTTTCTCTTTTATGTCAGGGTTTTATTCATTAAGTTGGAAGAATAATTTTGGCAACAATAATAAAACACCTTTCTCCATTCAATTGCCTTAGTATAACCTTTTCTCAAGGGCAGAGATCATGCGTTCAATCTTCAATGTTGAGGGAATGCTTGTTGCTGTTTTCAGTGATGCAGGGTTGGGAGGGCAGTGTGACCCCCTCTTCTTCAGATTGGAGGTTATCACTGATTCTTTCATTCTGGTACCTTTCTGGGTACATCCTTCCATGAGTTATCACAATCCTCTAAGGAAAATCATCATCTATCTCTTTGGGCTCTTTTCATGACACCTTACTGCCTTTCTCAGCGTCTCTTATTCTTCTCCTCACAAGCCAGTGAAACGTCTCGAGCCATTGTTGGGATCTTTAATGAAAGAATTTTGGTTTTCTTTTTGCTTCCAGAATAAGCTTTGACTTTTAAAGTCACACAAATGTGCCTGCCTCCTTTTAAGACGTTTTAGAATTTTGTTTCCTTCCTTTCCCCCATAATGAGAAAACCATGCAGTGCCTCTAAGGCCAGTTGCCTTTAATCTGCTCAACTTGAGAGAAGCCTCCTTCATATCACACTCTGTGGAGCGCTCCTCTGAAGAACCCAGCTAGGAACAAAAGCAAACACCAAGATAATCAGTCTTGGAGGGGAAAGGTGTCTGTGTGCTCTGCATGCCTGACTAATTGTAAACACGTATAACAATGTGAATATAAAAACCCTGTCTCAGAGAGCGGATATTTCTAATATATAAAGATCTGAGTTCTCCAAAGGGTGTGAAAGGGGAGTGGGTGGGAGAATACCACCTCCTTACCATCTTAGGCAGGTATGAGAGATTTCTGGGTGCTAGGTGAGAGGACAAAGTTCATTTTTAGGGAGCTGGTTAGAAAGAGCAAGCCAGGCAGTGGAGACACTTGGTAATTTGTGTGTTCATCCTGATGAAAGGGGGCTTGTGTGTGTTATTGGAGGATCATGCTGAGATCAGGATAAACAAGATCAGGATTTGGGCAAGTATGGCCTCAAACCCTAAAGACTCAAAATAGCAGCTTAAGATTCCTTTACTAGACCTTTATGGATGGGATCACAGCCAATCAGCGGTTTCAGAGAAACCAGGCTTGGTTGGGTTCCATGCAGTCTTTCCCTAGTAGTTTCTATCAACACTTTCCCAGCCCATCCCTCGTCAACCTCTCCCCTGGGCCTCACCAGGGCACCACTGCTGAGCAGGATCATGAAGATAATGAAGGTCTCAAACCAATTGTGCTCCACGATGAGGAAGCAGGTTTTCCGTAGGATCCACCAGGACTTGCCCAGCCCTTCCTCAATGTTGACCTGGCAGCACTTGAAGCGTTGGACACAACCTGGCACCAGCAGGAGGGAGAGGCAGGTCAGACCGTGGCGAACCCCGCCCAGACCTGCCCTTCCCTCCATCTCCCAGGTCCCACCAGGTGCTGCCCCACCACACAGCCAGGAGTACAGTGGCTGAATCGGAATGTGTGATTCAGAAATGGAGAAGGTGGTAGGGCTGAGGCTCTGTGGTAAGACTAACAGGTCAAGGCCCTCTGGAGGTGGGAAGGTCACCTACAAAGAAGCAGTGGGGGTGGGGGGGAGAGGGAGAGCCAGGAGGGAGTCACAGCCAGGGCCGACCAGACCTTTTCAAGCAGAAGTCTTTGGGCCAATGCCAAGAGAAAATAGATAAAGGGAAATCTGAGGACGGAGTTGTCTTACAGGTCAGATTTGAACAGGGGAACAAGGAAACAAGAACATAACTGCCCTCAGAATGGTCCAAAGCAAAGCTGTTGAAACTGGCTGCTCAGCCCCTCTTTCTCTCACCGAGTTACGACCTGGCTGCTATCTGCCCTAAGGAGTACAAGTGCTGCACGCTCATCCCTCTCCTCGACCCTTTCACCTTCTGTGAAGCAGGCATCTGGATCCAAGTATTCCTCAGGCTGTTCCACAGGGACCTCTTCCACCTCGGGTTTGATATCGATGGTGCTGCCCTCAGAGGAGCTGGTGTCATCCAGTTTCTAGATACCAAAGAAAGGATACAGAAACTGTCGTCCCATGTCCACTCACCGCTGGCTTCGTCTCTGCTAGGAATGATACCTCCATCATAATGACCACAACTCAGCATCACCCAGCTGCTGGGATGCAGACAGTTCTCACTCCAAAAACCCAAAGCTACTCCTGCCGAGCCAATTCTGACTCACAATGACCCATCAGGCCCAGTAGAACAGACCTTTAGGAACTTCCAAACCACTTATCTTTACATGGGCAAACTGCCTCCCCTTTCTCCCTGGGAGTGGCTGGTGAGTTCAAACTAGGCCAATAGTTAGCAGCTAAGAGCTTTAACCACTGTGCTATGAGGCCCCTAACAGCTGCCACGGGGCCCTCAAAATTTCTCTCAGGTGTGATAGTATCTGAATGCATGCACTGATCACAGTGAACCCCTCTAAATAAACTAACTGTGGCTAGAGGCTGGGGTCTGGGAAATAACCCCGGGAATATGTGGGGGTCACTCCGTTTCTGACTCACAGTGTTCAAGAGACTGAAGATGGAGATAATAGCGCGAACTCTGACTTTGGGAAACTAGGTCATCTAGAAAAGACATGGGGCGATACTGGTCTGGAGGATGGGTTCTCAAGGTGAACTGTTGCAGAACTTCTCTGCCAAGTCCACTGCTGAACCAACTCCTAGGCCTAACTGACCCTCACTTTCACGCACGGGCTCAGAGCTGGTCTCGCGGCTGGAACCTTACATCTTTGCTGCCTTCAGGATCCGACTCGCTGCTAACATCCTCGGTGTTGAGGTTCTCAAAATCGGACTCGCCGACCGCAATGGGCACACGGACGGTGAGGTTGGGGTTGTTGATGAAGGACATGTGGTCCTCGTCAATGATGTACTTCTCCACGCTGCTGCCGATGCCACTGGTCGTGCCATTGCCGTTCTTCTGGAAGTCGCCGTTGCGGTGGATGTCGGCACCCGTGTGGTTGGCCAGGCAGTTGCCCTTCTTCTCGTACAGCTCGTCGAGCGGCTTCACCTCATCAGCCTCGCGCTGCTTGAAGTGCGCCTGCATGAAGGCGTGCACCTTCACCTTGGTCCACGCCACCCCCTTCTTGATGCGGATCACGGAGATCTGCAGGTTGTTCATTTCCCCGTCGTCATCCGTTGCTGCCAGGTTGTCTGCGCTGAAGGAGCTCAGCAGCAAGGCCAGAAACAGGTTCAGCACCTGCACCCGGAGGGTTAGGTGAAAAGGAGAGTGAAGACTAGGAAATGGGTTTAGTGACAAGTCAACCACTACATTAGGCCTGGGCTAGTTTGCAGTCCACAGATCTGACGTGGCTGACTTAAGCATCCGCAGTGTTTTCTTTGGCCTATGTGGTATTTTAAACGTTCATGTCAACTAAGCATGCTTGATCCATGCACTGTAAGGAGAGCACCACGTGTGTGTATACAAATGACACCACTTCTCACATTATCTGAAGGGTGCTCTGGTGGCATTGTCTGTAGGGCGCTGTGCTGTTAACCCAGAGGTGGTGCCTCTCAGATGGTTCAAATCCACCAGCCGCTCTGAGGGAGAAAGACAGGCAATCCCCTCCTGGGTGACTTACACTGTGAAAACCTGCCAGAGGGTCAGCTATCCGTTGGTTCTGACTAGACAGCAGGGAGCAAAGGAGTGGATATTATGAGGAATAGCAAAGCCCACATACATTTTTGGAATTTTTTTTAAAAAAAGGTAGATATGGCTTGTTGAGGAGGGTACATGGCTATCGTGTGAATTTAGAGGAGCATGTTAGAGAAAAATTGGGCTTGCAGATTCATATGAGAAAGCAAGAAGGCAAAACAAGATAGTATATTACAGCATCTTATTATAAGAATGGATTTTCTCTGGTGTTATGCATATACATTTATAACAATAAATTTTGTTTTCTATATTTTTCTAAAAATTAAATAGCTTTGTCAAGACAGTGATGATAACACCTGTGTTCTGTTCCATGGCCAAGTGGCATCGAATACAGGCTTTATTCTGTTTCAATTTCCTATTTTATGGCATTGGACATGAAGAGTATTTTTTTTTAAATTATTTTTAGTAAGACTTCTGTAAGGTGGGAGAAGCACTCAATTCTTAATTTACATTTGGTTCTTACTTTGTCATCCTGAAGAAGAGTGAGGCACTCATTTTAGGCAGAGACTGTAGGTACAGAGCAGGAAGGATGAAAAGAAGAAAAGAAACAGATACACTTGGTTTATCTGGGTAATTTGTAGAAATAAAAAGGAATATAGTTGGTAAAATGGGAGGAAGAAGACAGGCTTTGAAGACTAGTCTGAGGCACTAGAAATGTTATTAATTAGATCCACTGTGGGTCTATACACTAAGGAAATGACAGCTCTGAGGATGTCATCCCTCCTAGTGACATACAGCCGGGGAGACTCGCTGCTAGGAGGCTATTACATGCACGTGTTGATAAGGGTCTCTATTAGTCTACTGTCAATAGGCTGTAATCTGAAGCTTTAGCACACCTAAGAATCTTCTGGAAGGAGTGCTTGTTAAAAGTAGGTATTTCCTGACACTGATTCACCTGAAGAAATTCTGATTCAGTAGCTCTTGTGCTGGGCCTGGGACATGGCATTTTTTCCTGGTAATTGTGATACAGGTGGTTTTCAGACCACACTTTAGAAAACTGGGTACACTGAAGAAATGGATAGAAAGGGGTAAATTACAATTACCATGAAGAAAGACAAATGGGAAAGATGCACTCAAGACACAACAGGCATTTCAAAGGAATGGAAGGAAAAGAAAGACTCCAAAGTCGTAGGTTCCTAGAGATTAGACAGGCAGGGGGACTGAGCAGAAGTGAGCCTGGGAAGGTGCCATCAGGGGGCAGAACTGACAAGTACTGTCATGCACTTCTGGCATTTGTAGATGGTCATGGAAAGATGCCCTTAAGACAACCATGATTAGGAGACTGGAGAAAGGGTGGCAAGATCAGGGTAGATCACAGTGTGAACCAAAGGGTGTGCACTGAAGGAGTAAGAGGACTGCAGGGAAGGGGGCTAGAAATGAAGATGGCAAGGGATTAAAGGAACAGGCAAAAGGAATAGTGTGGCCACAGTTAGTTCAGAAGCTGGTATGTGGAACCACCTACTGCACAGAAAAGAGAACTCTCATGGTCCATCGTGAGGGGAATTTCCTGAGCTTGCCTTCTCCACACCTTTTACTAGGATCTGAAGGTCTCATCTGTAAGGTCAGGCTTCTCAAACCTCAAGATACCTATGAATCATCTGCGGTTTTGCTATAAATGTAGATTCTGATTCAGTAGATCTAGAGTGGTGCCCAGGATCCTGTGCTTCAAACACACCCCGAGATGACCGAATTGCTGCTGGTCCTCATATCACACTTTGAGGAACATGCATACCACCCACCCGCTGCTCCTGAAATGATTTTGACTCATGTTGAACTTTCACTGGGTTTCCAAGATTATAAATCTTTATTGGAAAGAGTTCTTCATCTCTTCCCCTGGATATGACTGGTGGATCCAAACTGTAGATCTTTTGATTAGCAGCCCAACATCTAACAAGGTGTCAAAATTTCTATTTCTAATTGTTCTATATATAAAGGCAGATTGACAGATCACAGTATAACAAGAATGTGGTCTACCATTTATCCTATCTAAAGAATATTATTCTCATTACCAAAAGTTGATTCAACAAAATGTGGACATTACTGAACAACATTATTAAAATCACACACAAGTAAAATTTTGCTGAAGATTATTACAAAATGGCTTGAACAGTATACTGACAGGGAACTGTCAGAAACAAGCTGGATTTAGAAAATGGCATCAGGGTATCACTGCTGATGTAAAACTGATCTTGGCTGAAAGCAGAGAATACCAGTTAAGATGTTTATACTTTGTTTTAGTGATTATTCAAAAGCATTTGACTGTGTGGATCATCACAAATTATGGCTAACATTGAGAAGATGGGAATCCCACAAAACTTAATCGTGCTCATGTAAAACCTATACATAGACCAAGAAGCAATTGTTTAAACAGAATAAAGGGACAATGCATGCTTTAAAATAAAGAAAGATACGCAATCCTTTCTCCATACCTATTCAGTCTGTATGCTGAGGAAGTAATTTTAGAAACCGGATTATATGAAGAGGAATGTGGCATCAGGTTTAGAGGAAGATTCACCAACAAACTTTGCTATGCAGATGGCATATCCTCACTTGCAGAAAGTGAAGAACTGAAGCACTTGCTGCAGATCTAAGGCTTCTATGGATTACATCTCAATATCAAGAAAACAAAAATCCTTACCACTGCAGCATCATGACAGATGGAGAAAAGACTGAAGTTTACAACAGTTTCATTTTACTTGGAACCACTACTAACATGCATGGTAACAGCAGCCAAGAAAGGAAAAGATGTGTTGTATTTGGGAAATCTGCTGTCAAGGACATCTCCAAAGGGCAAAGATATCAGTTTAAAGACTAAGGTGCACCTGATTCAAGCCCTGGTCTTTTCAATTGCTTCCTAGACAACCATGCTGAGAAATGTGGAGGATCAGAGAAAGAGAGGAAGACTTCCAATAAGTGACTGCTACAACATCAGAAGACAATGGATAAAGAAGAAGAATATTTGAATTGTGGTATTGGTGAAGAATACCGAATATAGATTCCCTGGACGGCCAAAAGAATGAACGAAATCTGTCTTGAAGGAAGTGCAGCCAGAGTGCCCCTTAGAGGTAAGGATGCTTATTAACAAACTTGATTTTGTGCATATTCTCAGGAGGAATCAATCCTCAGACATCATGCTGAGGAATGTGGAGGGTCAGAGAAAGAGAGGAAGACTTTCAACAAGTGACTGCTATGCTCAGAAGCCTGACAGAGATAGTGAGGGTGGTGTAAGATGGGGCAAGGTTCAGATCTGTGGTTCAGAGAGTCGCTATGCGTACAGCAGACTCAATGGCAACGTTACAAAGAACCCTCTAAGTTGGTTTCTCTGAGTGGTTCACAAAGGAGAGTGGGATATCTCACCCCAAAGAGACATTTAGCAGTATCTGGTTGGGGTGGGGTGCTACTGAAATATAACAAGTAGAGGTCAGGGATACTGTCAAGCATCCTACAAGGCAACACAGTACCTCACAAAAAAGAATTATCTCACCCTAAGTGTTAATAAGGCCAAGAATTATTGAGGTGAAAGGAAACTTTTCAGAGCAGAAAGAATACAGACCATGGAATCAGACAGATCTAAATGAAAATATAAGCTCTATTAGTATCAGATAGGGATCTCTTGTGGCCTAGTGGCAAGAAGCTTCACTGCAGTCCCAAGGCTTGCAGTTCAAGGCCACCAGCTGCTCCATGGGAGGAGGATGGGCAATCTCCTCCCATGTGATTAACTGCCCCTGAAAACCAGCGGGGTGGGGTGTGTGTGTGTGTGTGTGTGTGCATGTGTGTGAGCTATGAGTCAGTTCTGACTTGACAGTACACAACAACATTAGTATCAGATACAGGACCTTTGGAAAGTTATTAATTTTTCTGAGCTTTATTTCCTTAACTATGAAAAAGGGCTGGCACGTTATGAGGGTTATAACACAGGAGTCACTCTACAGATCCCAATCTCTTCTCCTTCATCTAGAGCTTTGGGTTCCTGGGCTAAGAAAGAATTAAAACCAGCACAGCCAGGTAAGGTATTAAGCAAATAAGGCTTTTGTGTAAGGGGTAGGTTGTTTGAGGGGAAAAAAATTATAAAGAATACTAACCACCAAGTTGCCAATAACCATGACCATCATGAAGACAATGAGGCACATGGCCTGGCCCGCCACCTCCATGCAGTCCCACATGGTCTCGATCCACTCCCCACACAACACTCGAAAGACAATGAGGAAGGAATGGAAAAAGTCATGCATGTGCCAGCGAGGGAGTTCACAGTCTTGGTTGATCTTGCAGACACATTCTTTATAGTTCTTTCCAAAGAGTTGCATTCCGACCACAGCAAAGATGAATACGATAATGGCCAACACCAGGGTCAGGTTACCCAGAGCACCCACTGAATTCCCAATAATCTTGATCAGCATGTTCAGGGTTGGCCATGACTTGGCCAACTTGAAGACTCGGAGCTAAGGAAGAAAAGAAATCAAACACACGCCAAATGACACTCAGTCCGTTTTCTCTTCAAATGGAGAAAAAAGAAACACAGAATAAAATCAATTTACATTTACTGAGTTCTCTTGAGAAATTCACAGGACATCTTACACTAAATGGAGGAGAAACTGGCACCAATAAAAAAGGATCAGTTTTATAGTATGTGAAAAATTGAAAAATAGGAACCAATAAAACTGGCTTAGACTCTATTTTTATAAAACTCATATGTGAACACATCTCTTTCCTACAGATTTTCCATTGACTTCTCAAGAGAAATAAAAGACATGTCCAGAAAAATGTGACTTGTGAGGAAGTGAAGAACAGGTATTGTAAGGGGAATGAAAAAAATAAATAATTTGTCTTCGAACAAAATCAAGTATTTAAAAATATTGAATAATCTCCCTTTTGCTTGTCATTTACTAATAATGGCTGATATGAAACCTTGTGATGTATCTGGAATAACTTGGAGTAACAGCACAAGTCCCAAATATGGGCAGATATCTACATCCATCTCTCTCTCTCACACACACCTTAAGGAAAGAATCAATATTGATATTAATTCCTGAACTATTTGTACCACCCTTACATTATTCAAAAGACAGAAGTTTTGGTACCTGTCAACATGTCTACATTCTGTAAGGAATGAGGATATGGTTTTAACTAGTAGTCTGAGAATTATTATACATAAACTCAAGATAGCCTGGCCAATGGAATGATTATGAGATGCCCTAAGTTAACAACTAATTAACACATACTATAATAAGAATGCTGGTAGATGACAATACTATTGGCTTGAACATTATTTTCTTATTGAATATGTGAGTCTTAGCTGAGAGTCATGGTTTTCCAGGGGGCCAGTGTGTATATGTGGCCACTCTTTATTTTTTCTGTTTCTGAATGGTTTGTAATTTATTAAGAATATTGGTGCCAGGGTTTTTAGATCTTAATCCTTCCTCTTATTTCCTGGACAATAAGAAATACTCTCAGAAAGCCCACTGTGACCAAAGAGCAGTAAAGAATGGTTTCAGAAACTTGGCAGATGTTATTTGTGGCTTGAACGGACTGAGATATGTTTTAGTCTGGTTCTAGCAAAATTATTAGACTCGTAGAATATTCTAATTGAAAAAACAAAGCAAAACACATCAAACTCCCAAATTTACAGCTTTCCAGCTGCAAGTGCTCAGGTATTTTCCAAAAAGGGAGAGAAAAACCAAGCCAGTCCTGATGCCAGGAAAGCAGTATGAGCTTGGTCTTAGTGGGACACACCCCCTAACTAGCTCAGCCTAATTAGGTAAGACTTAATGAGGACATCACTTAGGCCTGTACTTATGGGCAGCTATTTCCAGGACACTATTAACTATTATTTTTGAGCTAATTGTTTATAATTTGAACATTAATGTCTTTAAATATACTAGTGAAAAATCCTTCTTAGGAGTCTTATTTCTAAGAATATGGGAAAAAAAGCCAGTGTTTAATAATGAACTTCAATATAATTTTTAAAAAATGTTATTTATTCATTTTCTGGAAAGGATCACTGTAACAGTAGAAATGAGAAAAGTCCCTTTTGAACAGTAATAAATTCTCATCATTTTAGGGAGCTGTTCAGATGATGATTAGGTTTCCCTCACACCCAACCTAGACCTCAGAAGAGACCCTGGCGTCCTTCCAGTCAATGTCTTTATTTTAGCCATTAGTTTCTGTGGCATCTTCTGCAACTGATTTCTGTTTGTTGCTCTATCTTATCTATCTATTAAAAACAAATCAAAACCAAAAACCAAACCCAAACAAAGCCAAAACCTACTTCTAGGTGAGGTATTTGGCTATAAAATTTCAAGATTTTATGAGTGAAGCCAAATACATTAGCCAATCAGAATAAGAACATAGTCATCAAGTTAACTTATGCAAAACCTTTTCTAGCAGCTGCAAGACAGAAAATGTAAAGAGAAATTGGAGAAATAAGGAATACCAATCGGAAAGACCGCAGCACCGAAAGCCCCTCCACGTCTGATAGACCCAGTTCCATTAAACTGAGGGAGACAATAAATCCGTCAAAAATGTTCCAACCTTCTTGGAAATAATAGTAGGGATCCATGGCTATGAGCTTCAAGAACATTTCCGCTGTGAAAATTCCAGTGAAAACCTAAAGGAGGCAGGGAATAAGAGAGAGAAGCAACAGAAGGAGAATGGCTTTATTATTGCCTTCCAGTACAACATATCCAGAGGTGTTAGAGACAGCCTCAGTTAATTCTCCATCCAAGGATGTCACTGTCTAGCTGTTTGATGAGCCCATGGTAAAGAAAAACCGCATTTTCTCCTTGAGTGAAACTCTAAGTCTACTGTTTCCATTTTTGATACCATATCTCCCATTCACGTTGCTCAAGGGTGCAATTAAAAAAATATTCTGAGCAATAGTACTCAAGCAATAGTACTCAAGGTAACTCCTTTCAAAGGGCCAGCAGTTACCGGAACATGTATGTTTAAGATGCTTGCTTAAAAAAAATTAATGACTTGTTTTAATTGCAATTATATTCCTGAGTTGCTATTCTGTGTCTTATCAAATCTAGATATATGTTGTAATTTTTCTTTTAAATCAGAGAAGTAATAGAATAATACCCAAAGTACAAGACAGGAAATAAATCAACATGGGAGGGAAACATCTTAATTATACTGTTGTTGTTATGTGCGATCGAGTCGTTTGCGACTCATAGCGACCCTATGTACAACAGCCCTAAACCCTGCTCTATCCTGTGCCAATCTCATTGCGTCTGACACACCCATCCCAATTACCCCAGTCACTGATTCAATCCACCTCATAGAGGGTCTTCCCCTCCTGCGCTGTCCCTCCACTCTGCCCAGCATGATGTCCCTCTCTAAAGACCTGTCTCTCCTTACAACATATCCAAAGTATGTCAGGCGAAGCCCCAGAATCCTT